CCCAATTTTTGTAAGTTCCCTCACCTAGTGCCTTTAGAGTTGTCTTCAACAGTCCGTTACACCTTTCTACTTTTCCTGCAGCAGGTGCCTGATATGGAATGTGATATACCCATTCAATACCATGCTCCTGGGCCTAAGTAGCCACTAGACTGTACTTGAAATGAGTCCCGTTGTCTGACTCAATCCGCTCTGGAGTGCCATGTCTCCACAGGACCTGCTTCTCAAGACCTAGAATTGTGTTTCGGGCTGTTGCATGCGGTACCAGATATGTTTCCAACCATCCTGTGGTTGCTTCCACCATGGTAAGCACATAGCATTTGCCTTGGCGGGTCTGTGGCAATGTGATATAATCAATCTACCAGGCCTCCCCATAGTTATATTTCTCCCAGCGTCCACCATACCACAGGGGCTTCAACCTTTTCACCTTCTTAATAGCAGCACGGGTTTCACAGTCATGGATAACTTGAGAGATAATATCCATGGCTAAATCCACCCCTCAGTCTCATGCCTGTGCACTCGGTCTGCCTGTCTGTTATTAGCATGTTCCTCATTAGCTCGCTTCTTGGGCACGTGGGCATCTACGTGGCGGACTCTCACATTCAATTTCTTCACTCTGACAGTGATGTCTTGCCATAGATCAGCAGCCTGGATGGGTTTTCCTCTACTCCTCCAATTCATCTTTTTCCACCGGTCTAGCCATCCCCATAGGGCATTGGCTATCATCCATGAATCAGTGTACAGGTAGAGCCTTGGCCATCCTTCTCTCTCTGCGATATCTAAGACCAATTGGACTGCTTTGAGTTCTGCAAACTGACTTGATTCACCTTTACCTTCAGTGGCTTCTGCCACTCGTCAGATGGGACTCCATACAGCTGCTTTCCACTTCTGACTCCTCCCTACAATACAGCAGGAGCCATCAGTGAAAAGGGCATAGTGTGTCTCTTCATCTGGCAGCTTATCATATGGCGGAGCTTCTTCAGCTCGACTCAGTGTGTCTTCTTCTTCTGCCAGACTGAAGTTCCCACCTTCAGGCCAGTTGGTTATGATTTCCAAAATGCCAGGGCAATTCGAGTTCCCAATTTGGACACGTGTAATCAAAGCAATCTATTTGCTCCACGTGGCATCGGTGGCATGATGCGTAGAGGGCACCTTCCCTTTGAACATCCAGCTCAACACTGGTAATCGGGGTACCATGAAGAGCTGTGTTTCGGTACCAATTACCTCTGAAGCTGCTCGTATACCTTCATACGCCACTAAGATTTCCTTTTCCACAGGGGTGTAATTGGCCTCAAAACCTCTGTAGCTTCGGCTCCAGAAACCCAGTGGTCGCCCTCGCGTCTCGCCAGGCACCTTTTGCCAGAGGCTCCAGGAGGGACCTTTATCTCCAGCTGCAGTATAGAGTACATTCTTTACGTCTGGTCCTGTTCTGACTGGTCCAAGAGCCACGGCATGTGCAATTTCTTGCTTGATCTGCCTGAAACCTTGTTGTTGCTCAGGACCCCGCTGGAAATTTTTATGGGTCACAAAGTAAAGAGGCTCACAATCTGACTGTATTCTGGGATATGCATCCTCCAGAAGCCTATGGCTCCCAGAAAAGCTTGGGTCTCTCTCTTGTTTGTGGGTGGAGCCATTGCTACAATCTTGTTGATTACATCTGTTGGTATCTGGCGTCATCCATCTTGCCATTTCACCCCTAGGAATTGGATCTCTCGGGCAGGTCCCTTGACTTTGCTCTTCTTGATGGTGAAACCGGCCTCAAGGAGAATCTAGATGATCTATCCTTTCTTGAAAACTTCTTCAGCTATGTCCCCCCATACAGTGATGTCATCGATGTACTGGATGTGTTTGGGAGCCTTACCCTTCTCTAGTGTGGCCTGGATCAGTCCATGACAGATAGTTGGACTGTGTTTCCACCCCTGAGGGAGTCGATTCCAGGTGTATTGAACGCCCCTCCAGGTGGAAGCAAACTGTGACCTGCACTTTACTGCTAAGGGAATGGAGAAAAACGCATTGGCAATGTTGATGGTAGCATGCCACTTTGCCATCTTGGACTCCAGCTCATACTGGAGCTCAACATATCTGGCACGGCAGCACTCAACGGTGGCATGACTTCATTTAAGCCTCGATAGTCTACAGTCAGTCTCCACTCTCCATCAGACTTACGCACAGGCCAGATGGGGCTGTTGAAGGGTGAATGGGTTCTGCTGACCACCCCTTGGCTCTCCAACTTTCGGATCATTTTGTGGATGGGAATCACAGCATCTTGGTTCATCTGATACTGTCGTCTGTGTACGATTGTTGTGACTATTGGCACTTCTTTAACTTGCAGTAGTCCTACAATGGAAGGGTCTTCTGAGAGGCCAGGAGGGGCAGACAATTGCTTGGACTCCTCTTCAATCACCGTGGCTACTCCAAAAGCCCACGGGACTCTTTCGGCTCCTTGAAGTATCCTCTTCTTAGGTAGTCCATACCAAGGATGCAAGGGGCTTCTGGCCCCGTCACAATGGGATGCTTTTCCCATTGGTCTCCTGTCAAGCTCATGTCGGCCTCAGCTACTGACAACTCTTGAGACCCTCCTGTCACTTCAGAAATAGAAACAGTCTCAGTACTCTTATGCTCCAAAGGCATTAAAGTACACTGGGCTCCAGTATCTGTCAAGGCCTGGTATCTCTGAGGATCTGATGTGCCAGGCCATCGAACCCACACAGCCCAGTAAACTCGGTTATCTTCTTAGTCCCTTTCCTTCTCCTGGCAGAAGGCAGGGCCCCTCTACTGGTCTTGATCAGAGCATTCGTCATCAGAGTTTGACTTTGACTTCTTAGACTTTTTGCCATCGTCAAAGTGGACCTTCATCTTCTTATGCTTCGGCGATCGCAGTTTCTTTTCTAAGAAGTCTGCATCTACTACATAGACAACTTTCTTGTCAGTCTTCTTTCGCTTCAGCTCCCTCACTCTAGCTTCAAACTTGGAAGTGGGTTCACCATCCCACTTCTTCATGTTTTCTCCTTTACTATGAAGGTATGCCCATAGTTGGTTACGTGACCGACACTTAGGGTTTTCTTTCCTTCGACGTGTGAATGACAGGGATTGTGAGCGAGATCAAGACCAGGATCGAGGTCTAGGTCGAGGTCTGCCACGGTCCACGTGGTAAGGGTGATGGGACCAGGCACTGCAAAAAGGGTTCTTGGCACAGTTGGAGAGT